GACAAAGACAAGGAGGATATCTTAAAATGGGGATCCCTAATAAATTGATATGATTGCTCTGTCCTTTGTTCGCAAAGGTTCAGACTTGGTGGAGGTTCGAAATTTGCTGGGAGAGCATGCGAAAATATCCTTCTCATGTCAAAGGTTTGCCACTTTCTTGTTGAGAGAAAACTGTTGAAATTCGAAGTCTAAATTTTAATCTTTAATCATATAAGTGATTTATTTTTTGTGCAGTTCGAGAACTTGTTATTCAACTAGTTTACCTTATGAGACCCCATGAATAGTTCAAAACATGTGATTAAATTTGTGTTCAACAAAAAAATTAGATATCAAGCATAGGTGAAAGAGTTTTGTGAGGCTTAATGGAAATTGACACAATCTATCAATTTATAAAATGTCATCTACAAATCTGGTAATGTGCTATTGGATTTCTGCATGTATTCGATTAACATAGTTACAAAAAGCATCACTTACAAAAAGCATCTCTTGATTAAATGGTGCCAATGGTTGTTTGATCTATTTTTTTTTTTTTTTTGCTGTGGAGAACGTAGGTGTGTGACCTTCGAAGTCTCCCTTGTTGATTTTTGTGCATTTTCTGAACACACACAAAGAGTAGAGACAGTTACTTCTTTTGATGTCAAGTTGCTTCTAATGTCTTATCTTTTTGTTAGGTTGAAAATCAGGAAGGAGTGGCAAATTTTGATGAAATTCTTTCCAACTCTGATGCCTTTATGGTGGCACGGGGTGACCTGGGAATGGAGATTCCAATTGAAAAGATATTTTTGGCGCAGAAAGTGATGGTTTACAAGTGCAACATCCAAGGCAAGCCAGTTGTTACAGCAACACAGATGTTGGAGTCCATGATCAAATCTCCAAGGCCAACTCGAGCAGAAGCTACAGATGTTGCAAATGCTGTTCTCGATGGTACTGATTGTGTAATGCTTAGTGGCGAAACAGCTGCTGGAGCCTATCCCGAACTCGCTGTTCGAACCATGGCCAAAATTTGTGTGGAAGCAGAAAGTACAATTGATTATGGAGATGTCTTTAAAAGAATCATGACCAATGCACCAGTGCCAATGAGCCCACTGGAGAGTCTGGCCTCTTCTGCTGTTCGAACCGCAAACTCCGCAAAAGCAGCACTTATATTGGTCTTAACCAGAGGAGGAAGTACTGCAAAACTGGTGGCTAAGTACAGGCCAGGCATGCCAATACTATCTGTGGTTGTCCCTGAGATCGAAACTGATTCGTTTGATTGGTCATGTAGTGATGAATCTCCAGCACGACATAGCCTTATTTTTAGGGGGTTGGTACCAGTTTTGTGTGCAGGATCTGCAAGGGCTTCTGGTGAGGAGTCAACAGAAGAAGCACTGGAGTTTGCTTTACAACATGCAAAAGCAAAGAGCCTCTGCGAGAAAGGAGACTCTGTCGTGGCCCTACACCGTGTTGGAACAGCATCCGTAATCAAGATTGTGACCGTGAAGTGATCAATTTGATGCTGTCCTCCTCACTGGACCTTTTTGTTACTTGGGGTGATAAATAAGTTCTCTTTTTTGTCTGCAAAATTTTGCCATTTGGATGACAGATGTGACTTGCTAAAATTGATATGTTTCTTCTAAGTTATGGGCATCGACCCTTTTGTTGTTGCCCGCGAATTTTTTTGACCTAATGTAATGGAATTCTGCTATTTTTGCCATTTGCCTACCTAGGCAGTAGGTTTGGACAAGTTGGTGTCATTTGATTAGCATTTGCAAATGGAACTGATGCTGTAGCATTACCATTTGGCCAGCATTTGCAGAGGGAACTACTTTGGCATTTTTTGGTTGGTTTTTGTGAATGAATCAACCACTTGGCATTTTCTTGGTTGGTTTGTGCCAACAGCGCGGAAGGCTTGATTTTGATTGCAGCGTGAGCAATATTTCTAATTTTGTTGGCTCTGCCCAGGTAAATCTTAATTCGCTTGGAAATATCTATAGTAGACCAGCATGATCTCACCTTTTAAGTTTGAGCCCTAGGTCCAGCACTTTATAGAGAGATCGGCTCATTTCATCTATTTTCTTTCTTTCTGACCGCTGGAATTGTGTTGTGTCATCCATTTCCATGGAGGCTATAGTAGCATAAGGGAATAGTACCAGGGTGGGATCGGGTGGACCAATTGGCTCGTTCAAAATGAGGGTTCAGTTTCAAATGAATAAATTCTCCAAGTTCTACTACAACCAGAAGGGCCACACTGGACGCCTTTCATTAGAAATAGCTTTTATAGTGAATAACTTTTAATGTAAAATTCCCGTGTCATTTTTTTCATTCATTAAATATAGAGTATATAGTGGGATTGACTCTTCACATGTAAATAATTAAATTAAATTCTTTATTTTAAAGTATTTCCAATAGACTCTCTATTCTCACTCAATTCTCTATTTTGGAGAATTAACTCTTAAAAATTTATCTCTAATATACATTTTTCATTAAATGAAAAACTATTCTCCGGTTAGAATACAGAGTCTATTGGAGTTGTCTAAAATATTTTCCTTTCTATTTCAACATTTTATCAAAGATGTTCTCTATTTCAAAGAAGATTCTCTCCAAAATAAAGAATACTATTGGAGATGCTCTTAGCAAAGTCTAAATAAAGAGCCTAGTGGAGATGAATTTTCATGGATTGACTCTTTAAAATAAAGAATTGAGTGGGAATGGAGAACTTATTGAAGATGCTCTAATTATAGAATTAATCGAATTCTCGACAAACCAAAATGCCAAAAAACAAACATCGTATTTGAAGAATGAATTTACTCATAACTAGTCCCTAAATCGAAGGGGTTAAGACGGAAAAAATAATCATTGCAATAGTGATATCATGTCAATATTATTATCATGTGGTATTATTAACCAATAATATGCAGACAAATAAGGAAGTGAACCTCGTATAAGCCAATATCTACCCATTCATGTAAGTAGATAATTATTCAATCTTCTTCAATGTAATCCAATAACTACTAAACTGGGATTCATTTTATCTATTTGTGGTTTTATTATTAGTTGGTGATACCATGTTATTAATGTTGACATGATATCACCGTTATATAAAATATTCTGTCGAAAAGATGGGGTGGAATTACTATGGCGTGGACGTCGAATAAGAGGCTATATTTTTTCCTTCTTATATTCAAAAAATGGAAGTGAGAATTTTTAGATATGATAACAGAAGTCATAGTATCAAAGTTTATAAGTTAATGGGGATAAGGTTCATATTTTTTGTAAAACTTTAGAAAATTTGAATTTTTATGAAAAATGGCAAAACGATAATTAGTCGCTATGATACGGGTTGAAAACTCGAATTTTTCTAAAACTCAGATGAAGAAACAAAACTCACCGTTAGATTCGTCTCGTGAAATCTAATTAACTAGATAATTTTTGAATTTCGAGACAATCAATTTTTTTGTGTTTTTCGATACGATTGGATGTCCTATGACTAAAATAAACTTGATCGGGTTTAAAATTTGTGAAGCATGAAAAATAATTAAAAGTCAGTTCAAATAAATATATTAAACTTAAAACGGAACGAGAATTAATTGATTTCGAACAAAATCGAATCAGAAAAAGATAGAACGTGTGGCGCGTTGTGGGCCAAGCATCCAAGGGGTATAAAAAGGGGAAACAAATCAAAATTTTCCCCCCATTTGGCTATTGAATTTCGATAGAGAGAGAAAATCAAGGGTTTCTTCATCTTCTTCTTGCGATCTAGGGCCAACTTTTGGTCGGATTATTTCGGGCCAAAAATTAAAGTTCATCTACGCGACAAGAGCTATGTCTATGTACAAAAAATTCGGGATTTTGAGGAAGTCTCAAGAATGAAATTTTTGAAAATCAAATTCTAAAGTTTGAGTTGGGTATTCTTGGAGTTCCTATCATTCGTGTTACGCTTCAAGAGGTAGGATTCTTCTCCTATTTAGGTTTATTGTCAATATACGATTTCATATGAAATGGGTAGCATTGTTTGGGATGAAATCTCCTATCTAAATGTATTTTTAGTGTAACTAGAGTATGTGAAATGGTATAAGAATGTATAAAACCAAATTTTGCATGAATTGGATTTTGGGTGAAATTGTTCGTTTTGGTAATTTCATGAGAAATGTGTTAATTGGGCACGCTATGTGTTTACATTATATGCCTTGGTAGTGTTTGATAAAATGCCTATGTTGATATAACATAATTTCATTGAAAATGGTATAACATGCTTGGTAGAAATTATGGAATGTAATTATATGCTTATGATATAATTGACATTGTGAAAATGGTGTGTGTCATGCTACTCTCATGATATGACGAACATGACATTAAAATTATAATTGTACATCACATTGCATAAGCACGGAAAACATTACATTCGTAGGCATGTGACATAGGTGTGGGTGTACATGATTTTGATCAAACACCATTCTTGGTGGATGATGTGTGGGCTCGAAAAAATTGGACCAAGGTTCAACTGAGTCGCACAGGTTGCACTGAAAATAAGGTCGGGGTTAGCAAGAAAAGCTAGATTGTCCCTTGGGTACAAAACCCAATGATTTGGATACACACACTGTTTGTATTGAGTACATAAAGTGTGTCAGCATATGCGGAGCCATTGGTGGAAGTCCATAAATGCCGTGTCAGCTGGGTGCCCGTTGGTAGAAGTCCATAAATACCCACCTCAAGAAAGATCCCGGATTTATAAATGGTCATTGGATGAGAAACATCAATGGCGTGGGCTGGGAATGTCTGGATTCATACTCATGGCATTGCCTGTGTTATGGAAGCCGGTGAATGTTCGGGTTGTATTGCATGTGCGAGTCTCACCTCATAACATGACATGACATTATGACATTCGTTCTTGAAGTTGTATGTTCTTGGATAAAGGTTTGTTTGATTATTGAATGGCAAGTGAGCATTTCATATGCATCTAGGTTGGGGAGTTGCCTCTTTAGAAAATACCCTATTGAGCGTGGCTCACCCTTTATGGGGACAACATTTCAAGTGCGAGACAAGTGCTGATGGATGGCTCTCACTTGGGCCCTCATTGATGAAGAAAGTTAAGTTGTGACTTTAAATTACATTTTTGTAAAACAAGTGTGTAATTAATTTTTGGACATGTAATATTGTGTAAAGAATTTTAAAACGAACTCATATGAACTATATTTTGTGTAAAAATGGATGTTATATGAGTTTGGGTGGATGTTGTATGAGATTAGGTGAGTTGGAATTGAAAAATGATTGAATTAGGGACAAACTATGCTCTTCTACCAGTAGAACATTGATTATCTACTAGTAAAAAAATTCTAGAGAACTTTTCTACTGTTAGAACGTTGATTATCTACCAGTAGAAAAATTCTAAAAAGCTTTCCTATAGGTAAAACGTTAATTATCTACTGGTAGGTCCTCTTAAATTTTTAGAAATTTAAAATAATTTTGTTAAGCCTTGGGGCCTTGAGTCCTTTTGTTCAAAGATGTAAATGGAGTAATATTAAGGACAAATTGATGTATATTGGACCTTGGAATGGTCAAGTGATTGAAATGTACACATATTATGCGTTTGGGAGTGTCTGGTACAAAGGAGACTCTACCCAAACTCTGTGTTGTTTATGCTCCCGGTGAAAGGGATGTTATGTCGTGGTGTCTGATTATGCGGCATTCATAGGCAAGTTCTTCCCATCGGCTGTTCGACAAGCAAAATGCCTGGGAATTCTTGGATTTGAAGCAAGGGGCTATGACAGTGACAAATTACGTGGCTAAGCTCACCGAGTTAGCCCATTTTTTAAATGATTATGTGGCCATAGACTTAACCAAAGTGAGGAGGTTTGAGAATGGTTTGAAATTATCTATTCGAAGAAAGATTGTGGGCCATCGCTTACAATCTTTGAACTCAATGGTCAAGACAACTATGACCCTTGAGAGAGGTGGAAGACGCAAAGGGCATCCGGGAAACAGTGCTAAGGACAGGAAGAAGGAGGGTCAATCCTCTTCTTCTAATTCTACCCCACAAGGGTATCAGAGACAGGACCTAAAATATCAAGGCCAAGGTCAAGGTCAAGGTCAAGGTCAATCCTCCCAAGGTGGGAGAAACTTTAGAACTTCCTTCCAGGTAGGCCAAATGACTTGTTTCATATGCAACCAGCCCAGTCACATGAAGCGGATTGCAATTGGAGGTAGGGATCCCAAAGTTATGGGACATCTCAGTGCTAATCATCGATGGGGCACCCACAAACTTATTTTATACCTCCCTACCCCACCATGAGACAAGGAAACCAGTTTCAGTTCTAAGGTGCTGCACAGGTGATGAGTGGGTTTTATACCTACGAATTGAGTATTTTCAGCTTTATAAATTGCAAGTTTTCTAATATTTTATGTTCTTTTTTATTTTTTTTGTGTGTTTTGATGTTATTTTGTAGGAAACAAGATCATTTGGAAGGAAACAAGGTCAATTTGGAGTCTAAGTGTTGGATTTTTGAAG